TATATATGTATATATATAAACGGAAATGGAAAATAAATAAAAACTGATTCAAACTATTGATAAAAACTATAATAATATTGCAATGATACACTGGCACAATATCCCAAGTCTTCCAAAGTCATATGATACCTTTATGAGAGGAACAGACACACATATTTGACTTTTATGGTGTTTTTAGTGACTATAAACTGTCAAAGAGCTGCATGTACTGTAGAGTGAGGCTGAACTATTGCTTAAACAAGTCATTAGGTTGTATAGATTCAGATTACATCATAATGATGAACTGTGGCAAATATTTACAAAAACATATTATGATATCAGCTGAGTTTGACTTAAATCCTTGAGACTCAGAGATGTCATGTGACTAATGCTGTGTGTCACGAATCCAGCTCTTCTAACATGATTAGCCACAGCACACTGGCTCCTGTGTGCACATCCAGACGTTTAACATGATTCTCTCGGCTTAGCGTGACCTGGTTGAGGTCTGGTGGATCTTTAGGGTGGTAATGGACGACTCTGACATGTTTGGAGTTACACAATCCATGGCAGTGTGTGGACAGGTTCACGCTTTCCACGCGCTCGCCGCAGGTGTGCCGCACGCAGACAAGCATGCAGATCCTCAGCATTTACACAAACTCTTTCCAGTCTGCTTTCCAATCAAGATGATTGAGTTGGCTTATATTATGATATCAGCTGAGTTTGACTTAAATCCTTGAGACTCAGAGATGTCATGTGACTAATGCTGTGTGTCACGAATCCAGCTCTTCTAACATGATTAGCCACAGCACACTGGCTCCTGTGTGCACATCCAGACGTTTAACATGATTCTCTCGGCTTAGCGTGACCTGGTTGAGGTCTGGTGGATCTTTAGGGTGGTAATGGACGACTCTGACATGTTTGGAGTTACACAATCCATGGCAGTGTGTGGACATGTTCACGCTTTCCACGCGCTCGCCGCAGGTGTGCCGCACGCAGACAAGCATGCAGATCCTCAGCATTTACACAAACTCTTTCCAGTCTGCTTTCCAATCAAGATGATTGAGTTGGCTTGCTCAGTATTTCAAGTTAAAGGGTTAGTTCACCCAAAAATGAAAATTAGCCCATAAATTACTCACCCTCTAGTGCATTTGTTTTGTCGAGACAAAGAGGGGGAGGCTCCGGCCGCTCGAGAGAGGAGGGGGTAGTAAAGGTTTGTTCCCCTGCAGGGCACTTGTGGACGGGGGTGTTGTTGTGCCTGTGTGCAGCTCAGATGGTGTGTTTTCTCAGCGCTAAAGGAAATTGCATCAGTATGCATTATCCAGCAGGGAGAGGCCGCAGGAGTCACGCTGGGAGGAGGGCCGAAGCTCTCTCTCTCTGTCTCTCTCTCAAACTTCCCACTAGTGCAGAGACACACCGGCTGACCCAGTCATGGGCACAGAGGACCCAAATCGCTCTCTGCATGGACTTATACTGGATTAATCAACTTAACCTATTTATTTATTTGCATATTTATGGTTTATCTACTTTCTTGAGCCCTGAATGCGGACGCGGAGCACTATGCACTCCAGAGAGAAGTCGCGGAGCTGCGATAATTACCTGAGTATAAAGGTAAGCGCCGCACTGCTGCGGGTTGCATTCGACATCGCTTATGAATCGCATTGAACTTTAAATGAAGAAAGCGTTCACCACTTTCTATTGGGATTGTGATGGTCCTATCAAACAGGAAAACGTCTTTCCTGACAGCAGGGTTATTATAGATAACTGAAACCATAAATAAAAACATTTTTGATACTTTAAATAAAATAAAAGTTAAGTGAAATAAAATAAAAACTTGCTCTTATTTTATTTCAGCTAGCTTCCAAGGCACCGTTTCTCATTTTCATTTAGTTTAGCTTGATGTACTAAAAAACCTAAAACTGAAATACAAATTAATTAAAACTTTATAGACATATTTTTTTTAAAAATGACTAAAACTTTAACTGAAATTAACATGAAAGCAGAAAATGTAAGAAAAAAATCTAATTCAAATTATTAACGAAAACTATGACACTAAAATAAAATCACTTACAAAAAATACTGTGACTATAGTGCGGTATATTTACATTTATTCATTTAGTAGATGCTTTTATCCAAAGTGAGTTGCAAATGAGGAAATGCACCATCATAACCATATTTACATGACTTTTTGGTTGTCGTTTTGTTTAAAATACACTTAAAATTCAGTAATATTATAGATTTGACAGCACTGACACTATCTGAATTGGGTGTCACAATTGCCTTCTGCTTTAAAGCTGAATCAAATTTGTTCATAATTGACAAATTTGCAACATTGACGTGGTTTTTGAATTGAGTTGAATCAACACTGACCTGAATTGAGATGAATAATGACACTATTGCTTAGAAAGTTTGCATGATTGATTCTGTTATTTTTCCATTTAATACTGTGAAGCTGCTTTGAAACAAACTCTGTTGTCTGGACTGGAGTTTTCAGGAATCCTGTGCTAATTCTAATGGCTGTTCAGGGATATACTGATCCATGTTTTGAGGCAGCTAGTCTGTAAGCACAGTGTTAACATAGTTTGACTCGAACTGTTTGGTAATGAGTGGCATTAGGACTCGGTTTAGTCTTTTGAGCTGTAATCCAGACATCATGGGAGCGGCGTCTTGAATTGATCCCTCAATTACAGCACTTTAACTCGTCTCGTAATCACTGATCGTTTGCTTGCGGTGTCTGTGTGAGCTCTGGGTTTGCTCTGTGTGTTTGTGTTGTTGTGTCATCGCTCGGAGATTCACTACAGAACCTGTTTGAGAGCAGCTGCGTGTGGCTTTTGTCCTCAGAGAGTCAATGGACATTCCATCAGTAGAC